GAGTAAGAGAGAAGGGTGCTGTGGAGTAAGAGAGAAGGGTGCTGTGGCGGATGCAGCCGTTCTCAGCCTGCATGGCGCAGGGAGAAGCGGCAGGGAGGAAACAGAGCAGGCTGATGTGGGAGGATTTGCCAGCCAGGCAAGTGTGCAGAAATGGCCACAGAATATCATCATGGGCTCCGAACCACCTTCCTATTGGCTTGCCTCTGACCTTCCAGACTCCAAGCTAGATTCCCGAGTCTTCTGGAATTCCAGTTCCTTGGGAACTGTGACCACACTTAGATCTGCCAGGAGCCTAAGCAGGCATCCCTTCTTCCTTCTCTGGTTTCCCAGAAAATGTCCCAAGTAGATGATTTCAACCAAGGGCCTTCAATAATGCCTGCTACAAGCTTCAAGCCTGAAAACTCTTGAATGGGAAACGGAGAACCTGGGCATGGAAGAGGCCTGTGAGCTCTGTCCCTCAGCAGCATCTCTGCCTTCCCTTGGTGGGACCCAAAGGGGTGAAATTATTCCTTGGGCAAGTGGTAATTGAAAGATGCCCATGTCTGCTTGAGAGGAGTAGGAGCCAGTCCACGAGAGACAAGAATGGTTCTTTCACAATGAATATCAGAGGCGCAGTAATAAAAGGTTACAGAAAGCCGCCATTTAGTCCCTATTCCTGTTCTCCAGAAACCAGTGTCTGTAGGAACAGTTCTCAAACTCAGAGCAATGGGCATCTGAAACTGGATAATTATTGGTTACAGGAGTTTTCATGATTATCATGAGAACCTAGGCAGTGGCCTTGGCCTCTGTTAGAAGCCAGTAGCATTTCCCAGTATCGACAGCCTAAAGAAAAGTCTGCAGACATTACCAAATGCCAGGGTAGAACAAAAGTGCCCCATTGAGAACCGCTGTTCTGTAGCAGTGGTCGCCGACGTCTGCTGTGGGGAATCGCCCAGGGAGGAGCTGTTCAGGCTGTCGTGGAATACGGTTGCCACGCCCACGTACAGCATTTTAACAGGCAGGGAACCCTGGCTTCAGGAGATTTAAAAACTCCCGGGTGGTTCCAGTGTACAGCTAATAATCATCCTGTTCTTCTGGGAATCCGCCTCCGAGGAAGCCAGAGGATGTAGTGGATAGAGGTCTCTTCTCCCACAAATTTGTCGCTCCTAAGAGATGAAGCATGGAACAAATAAATGACATAAAGGGACTGGTGATAAGAACTGATCAGGGGCCAGCTGTGCCGGTGCGTGCTGGCAGGATTTGCTGGAGGAGATGGAAGCAGGAAGATCACAAGTTCGAGGCCAGCCTGTGGTGGTTTTTTTAGTCCGGCAGTGGTGGTTGATGTCGTTAATCCCAGCTCTCAAGGGGTGGAGGGGCAGGCAAATCTATTGAGTTCTAGGCCAGTCTGGTCTACAGATCAAGTTCCAGGATAGCCAGAGCTACACAGAGAAGCCCTGTCTCAAAAAAAAAAATTAAAAAAAAAACAAGAAACAACAGCAAAGGAAAGAAAGGAAAGAATTGTTCAGAAGAAGAAATATACTAGAATAAGGAGAAATTGTTTTCTTATGGTTATGTTTTGTTAGAATGAAATGGATGACTAGGCGTGTAATTGAGTGATTTCATCATTGAATGGGTAAATAAATGGATGCATGGGTGGGCAAGGACAAAGGGAATGGGAAACTAACATTTGAATCAATGGATGAGTGGGTGAAAGGAGGGGTGTGAGGGGGATAAATGGACCAATGAGAAAGCGAGTGGATAAATATGAGGATGAGTAGGCATTCAGAGGGACAAATGGAGGTAAGTGGATGTAGATCCAGGCAAGTGATCAAATGCGCGTGGGAATAATAGGTGAGTTGGTCAATGGACAGATGAATGAGTGCATGGACAGGTGGATGGGTGGGTGCATGCGTGGTAGTGAATGGATTGATTGACAGGTAGTAATAGTAGGTTGTAGGCTCCCTCAGGTGCGGCTAACAGTAACTCGTGGCTTTTCGGTTTTACCTTCTCTAGTGACCTGAGCAACAACAGCATCGGCATGCTGACCAATTACACCTTCAGCAACATGTCCCACCTCTCCACACTGTGAGTATGGTGTCAGCCATGTTTAACATCCATGGGCATGGCCATGAGTCTTGTCACCCCTCATTCTTTAGGGGCCCTGCTGTCGTGGTCCTCGGGGCTTTAGCTGCCCCCAGTGAAAGGCAGGCTTTAGTCACCAGAAGATGCAAAAGGGAGAGGTAGGGGCCTGGCAGATGGAGGAACTGGAAGCTAATTACCTCTGAAGAAGGCTGTCTTCTGAATGCCTTCTGGGATGCATGCATGTTCTTTCCCAGTGGAGGATTTCCTACACAATTATATTTTGCTCAGACCCATTTATTTCCCATTAGCTCCGCACGTTGTAAGCACACACCATTTGACAGTGGAGGGAGGGGGTAGGAAATCTGATTAGAGAGCCAGTCTGCTGTGGAACATGGGGGCGGGGGACCAGCTTAGGAGCTTCCTGGAGTGGTCAGAAGCTTCTCTCCGCTCTGGATTGCGGTCCCCTTGACGATACATTAAACCAGGGAAATCAGAGGAAACATTTGCTCTGCCCGGTCCGCAGTGTAAACAGTGCACCCACGAGAGCAGGAGTAGCAGGCTCCCATTTCTCTTTCCACAGGATCCTGAGCTACAACCGGCTGAGATGCATCCCCGTCCATGCCTTCAACGGGCTGCGGTCACTCCGAGTGCTGTGAGTCACAGGGCCTTGGGTCACTTACATGGTACTGGCTAATAACATGAGACATAGAGAGCTCTCGCCTTCCACTGTCCGATGAGCAAAGCTCATTCATTGCCACCCGACAACCTTATTTACTCAGTGGGGTAAAGAGAATGCACTCTATGAGTCGGCCATTCCTGAGGTTCAGCACACTGCCACGCATAAGCCTTTAGCCAGTCACTCACCCCCTCAAGTCTGTACTTTGCTGAATATTCGATGGGTCATCCCATGCCACAATTAGGCTACACTAATGTGTCCTCCCTCTCATGAGCACAGAGTGGGGAATGAAGCCACACTGAGATGTGCGGGCTTCTCACGGGTGCTCACTATGGCTTCAGAAGGGTGATGCAGCACCCTCTGTGGGGACCAGAGATGACAGGATGGAAGGCCAGGTGCTGTCCTAGCTCAGAAGGTTGGCTTGACAAGGACCTTTGTCAAAGACCGAAAGTTTTAGGTCTGGATACGGTGACATGTATGTGTAATCCCAGTCCTTAGGGAGGCTGAGGCAGGAAGAACATGAGTTCTAACCCAGTGTTGGAGGGAGGCTGCTTGTTCGTCCTCGCCGCCCAGAACCTAAATAATCACACAGAAACCATGTTATTTAAATCACTGCTTGGACTCTTTAGTGACTTTGAGTCTAACCTGGGCCACTTTAACAAGATGCTGTCTCAAAAAAGGAAGGAAGGAAGGAAGGAAGGAAGGAAGGAAGGAAGGAAGGAAGGAAGGAAGGAAGGAAAGAAGGAAGGAAGGAAAAAGTCCAAGTTTTAAGAAGTCGCCAACATTTATAGCCGACAAATCCTGACGTCCCCTTCTCTTGGGGAATCAAGAGTCCTAACTGTACCTGAGTTCCTCCTCTGCATTTCTGCAGACAGGATTGCACAGATTGTAGCCTCCCCACTCGTACACCCCCCTGCCTGCCTGGTTCTGTCCTGAGTTGAAGACAGCTCTGCTGAGACAGAGGAGCTACACAGGAAGGCTAGGGGGCTCCAGAACGCTTCTGGTCCCCAAACATCTCTGTCCCTCCATCCCTCCCTCTGTGTTTTTTCACCCATAAAAATCTGATAATGATGGTAATTGCGTCTCTGAGTCTTAGGAGGATTGAGTTAGATGCTGCCTCAAAAGCACATGTCAAGCTCTGGCTACTGTGACTGTGGAATAACTACTCATCTGTTGTTCTGGTCTCATGGGGGCTTGCTGGAGTAGGGGGACACTGCTCTAGGTTAGACCCAACTCTAGGTCCAGCTTTCTACCCTGCACTATTTGAGAAAGAAAGATGTTGTGTCTTTTTCCGCTGTCACTTTTAAGGTGCCTCCTCATGACGGTAGAGATGTCATCCTGCTCTTAAACCTCTCACCTGTATTTTCTAGTCCATCGTTATTCTAAGAGTGACCAACCTCCATATTTGAAAAAGTTAGGTCTGGCCATTCCTTCTCCCGATCCTTTGCAGTAGTACTGTCAGCTTGAGAAGATGATGCCCATTTTACAGATGGGGAAAGCCAAGCCCTGACCGATGAAGGAACTGGCCAAGTGTGCTTGAGTACAGCCTCCTGCCTCAGTGCCGTCCACAAACAGCACCCAGCAACCTTGTCTTTTCCGAGACTCTGGGCTGGTGTGATGTATTAAGACCTGCAAAACACCCATGTTGGCGACAGCTCCTGCCCCATGTCATCCGCACCGTTATTAAACATCAATTCCCCGGGGGACAAAGAAGTGCCCGTGCTGACAGTGTGCAATCTGTTATTGTCACTTACTTATTATCCGCTTTCTCCAGGGAGTGTGGGAATGGAAACATCAGCGAAACCATTTCCTTGTTTCCAGCCGAATGCAGGAGTGGATAGGTCTCATTCGTCTGGCCCAAAGCCAGACCAGCTGCCCCTTCCACTGCCTGCAGGACCCTGTCTATCCCAGCCTCCAGCCTGCTCTCCAGGCAGTCTAGCGTTGCTGGGGATGCGTTGGAGGGTAGAGGAGAGAGACCTTGCGGTTTTAACTGGATCTCCGTGCGTGGGTCCAAAAACTTGGAGTCAATCTGATGGCGATAATTCACAGATTCGGAGTGAGAGAAATAGGTTTTCCCCGTTCATCTGTCTGTTCACTAGGGTGATGATGTGAGCATCACAGCCTGCCAGGAGTTTCTCCTTCCTCAGGTCCTTGTGTGTCCTACCCCAGCCCCGCTACCATCATGAGGTCCCAGAAAGGCATGCCTACTTTTAGAATGAGGGAGCTTGCTGCTGGAGTTACGAGTCAGCAGGCTTCAGCACCGTCATCCTAAAAACAGTGGATCCTGGGCATAAAATCCGATCTCCGAGCCTCTCACTCCATTCAAGTACCTCAGTGGGGAACAACCGTTTTCTGCATAAGGACCAATTCAGGAAAAATAACAGCGTTTATGGGCTACATTTTTATGATATTTGTATCCTTTCTTCTGGTAATTGCACATGTAGGAATTCCCACTCTAGAAAAAACCCAAAACAAGGGAAAGGTTCTATAAATCTGAGTCTTTGCTACATTGTTATTTTTTAACCTAGATTTTAAATATTACCTATCGGGACCACAATGGGGAAATGTATAGAGAGATTATGACAGAACTAGTCAATGAAACGCAGTTATTAAAAGAGATAAAGATGAAAACGAGACACCGTGTGGGAAAGGGCCGGCTATTAGCTATTGTGTGGGAAAGGAAACTTAATTATATCTTGTAAACATTGACACTAGTGAACAGAGACTAAAGAGAACAAGAGAAAGAATGCTTGTGGCTGCTCCCAGTGCTGACTGAGCAGGAATGGAGACTCTTACATGGTGGCAGGTTAGGGAGTGGGGCAAAAGATGGCGTGGTTTTGTTTGTTTTGTTTTTTTTTTTTTTTAGTGTGTGCTGGGTTGAGATCATGTGTAGGTACACATGTGCTGCAGCATGCATGTGGAGGTCAGAGGACACCTCAGGTGTTGCTCCTCAACTTGGGACAGAGCCTCTTGTTGTTAATTGCTGTGTTCGCCAATCTCGCAGGCCCTGGGGTTTTCTGGGATTTTCTTGTCTCTGCCCTCCCATCTCGCTAGAGGAGAGCTGGGATGTCAGACAAACACTACTGCAGGCTTTAGATGGGTTTAAGGTATCTGGACTCAGGTCCCCACACTTTTATACAAGTGGCTTGCCCGCTGAGCCACCTCCCTAGCCCCAGGTAGGTTTTTTTTTTTTTAACAGGAATTGCATTATCTGTAATGGCCTGAATGCATACATGTGTGCACATGTGTGTTTGTGTCTGTGTAACTGTCTATGTCTGTCTCTGTATATGTCCATAGGTAGTGCATCTATATATGCGTATCTACTTAGCTGTCTGTCTCTTTCTCTGTGTGTCCATTTGTGTGTGTGTGTGTGTGTGTGTGTGTGTGTGTGTGTGTCTGCTTAACTGACTGGCTATCTCTCTGTCTCTGTCTGTGTGTCTGTCTGCCTATGTGTGTTTATGTGTCTTTCTGTGTGTCTGTCTCTGTGTTTGTGTGTGTGTATGTATGTGTATGTATGTGTATGGCTGTGTATATCTGCTTGGCTGTTTGTCTGTCTCTATTTTTCTCTCCTTCCCTCTTCCCCCTCCCTCCCCTCCCCCTCTCTACCTCCCCCTCTTTCTCTGTCTCTGTCTCTCTCTCTCTCTCTTTCTGTTTTTGTGAGTGAAACTAAGTACATTTCAGAGAACAAGACAGGAGTGGTCTGGAATCCAAGTGCAAACCATTGTGTGAGGGAAAAAAATATATTTTCTCTACTTCCCTTGTGATGTAAAATAGCTCGTGAGAACATTCTTGTGAGCATTCTTGTCCTTCTTTGGGGATCTGTGCACTCTTAGGGATCTTTGCCCCACACAGAGTCACATGCTTTGTGCGTGTGTGGTCCTCAATGTCACTCCCCAGCCCCTCACAAGGGCACCTGGAATCAGTTAGGACAGGGAGGGCCGCCCCAACATGCACAGAGGGAGAGACTGAAGCTGTCATTCATCGTCCTGCGGATTTGTAGCTTCTCATCCACGAAGGAGGACCAGACTGCTGATACCCACAAGGAGCTAAGGACAGCACGAAGCCCTCCTACAACATCCCCAGTAAGGGCTCCAGATGCTCTTTGTTTGGTTACCTTCCCAAGAGGGACCTCACTGCCTCATCAGAGACCTGGCCCACCTCTGACAGCCTGGTGGTAAATGCTGGTGGTGAGCTGAAAGGTGGGGCTGGTGGACTCCAGTCATGGTGCAGGCTCATTCCTTGAAATCAGAGTCAAAGTTGAAGATTAAATTTAGCAGTAACTTCACAAAGAAGAATAAGTCTTAGACATATTCCTGGCTAAACTTGTCTCTTTGGAGATAGGGACGGAAAAGTTTAGAGACTTGCTCTTGGTCATTCCCTTTCCTAATGCCTTCAGTGGACAAGCTGCCATGCTGGTCTGGTAGGTGGGCACGGACAGTAAGGGAGACACTGTCAAGCTGAGAGAAGCATTTGCAGCCCAGGGTGACAGCTGAAAGAAGAGCCACAGGCCACAGTGACGGCATCACTGCATCCTGCCCATCTTAAAGCCATCTGAAGGAACAACCCTTTCTGGAATGTATTCATCGGTGTCTGTTAAGCCTTCCCTCTGCACTGCCCAGGGATAAGAGTTTCTGTGACATTATCATGTTCTCCACCTTTTGAGGAACATGCCTCTGTTAGCCCCATCTCACGTATGAGTAAACTCAGACTGAGCCAGAATAAGTGACTAGCTTAAGATAATGCAGTTGGGACTTGAACCCAAGACTGCTTTCTTTCCAAGTCAGTCCTTCAGTTTCTAAGGCTGAGATGCAGCCAATGAGACCCACCTAAGTAGAGAAAGTAGTGAAGAACATTCTAGAAGGTGGTAATATGGCTACCCGGTACAGAGACCTTAAGATCAAGGACAGGTATGGAGTGTTGGCTCCGTAGGTAAGAAGAGCACCTGCTGCTCTCCCAGAGGACTGGAGCTCAGTTCC